CGTGCTTGAGCTCACGTGCCCGACGAGTCCGGTATGTTATATGTTGTTCTTCCGAGCCAATGCGAGGGAGCAGAGCTGTAGGTGAATTAACTAGTGTGAGAAAGAAGACAAGAAAAGGGTCGTCTTCCGGGCTCTGGTTTTTTCAGGACATTTTTCATATACAACCCTTTCTGTCGTCATACCTCAGTAATATTCCCTATTTGTTTTCAGAACTCTAGTAATCTCATATTTACAATTTAAAGGGACCTAATTGCAAAGTTGTACACCAAACCAAAAGGTACTCCTTTTATTCTACCCTCATTCTTCAAGAATTTTGAATTGTGGAATGCCCTTCTTCTCTTCTGTTTTCTCCATAAAACTCTCTCATCATCTCTCCTCACTTCCTCTCTCCTCTGCTTTACTCTCTCTCTCTCTCTCTCTCTCTCTCTGTGCACTCGTAGCCTCCGTAATGGGGACCGCCGGCGGAGGTCCAGTGATGGATCCTCACGGCGACAGGGCGGCGGTCGTGAGCGAAGGATCGCGGTCGTCCATTGCTTTTGAGACTAATGAAGGTGAAAGAACTTAGATTTTTCGATTTGGGAATATAGTTTTATTTGCTCATGCTAATTTTATTTGCTCATGCTAATTTTATTTGGGAATATAGTTTTTATTTATATATTTATTTTGCTCTTAGATTTGGGATCTTTTGGTGAAAAGCCTTCTGTTTTATTCTAGTGGTAGGGACTGTCATTCTAAAATTGGACTTCCTTTCAGTTCTGGCAACGTTTGGGTGCTGATCGATATATGAACTTTTGTGCTGATGATTTGATTTGATGTTACTTCAATATATGGCTTCTTTTTATTGGATTTGCTTGTTTAATTTGTTTCTCTCATTTTATTTTTAAGTTCAGCTATGTTGGGAATTTAAAGGCCGAAATCCCTAATGCAACGAAAAACGCAGAATAGAGAACAGTACACAAGATTTACGAGGTTCGGCAACTGCCTACGTCCTCGGGAGCCACACAGTTAATTTCTTATTTAATCTAATAAGAAATTACAAATTAAGAGCAAATCTCTAAACTGAGATTCCTCAAACAGACACTGTAGCTACAGTGTTTAATACCCACACTTAAATCCCCTCTTCTCTTTTCTCTCTCTTCTTAAATCCCTTTTCTTAATCTCCCCTCAAACCAAATGAGAGCTGGAGATTTGGGAAGTTAAATCGCTGCTGCGATTTCAAAGGGGGAACGCTTGCTGCGTTAGGGCATCCGCCGCCAGAAATAAAATCGGGGAGGAGGAGCAGCGATCTAGGGCATAGAAGAGGGGCTTTTATAGCCGAGATTCGTGAGCTGGCGACAGCCTGTCGCCAGCGGATGTCCGACGCGAGGGTGGGAGGCGAAGACGCGATGGTCGTCATCGCCTGACGCGAAGGTCGAGCGCTCGAACACCGAGGATTGCGTTCGCATAGCCGAGGGTCGCGTTCGCTCTGCCACCATCTCGTTCGTCGTCGAATTCGCTGAGTTGACGCTCGCCTTGCATCAATCTGGAGCTCGTCGGAGCTCCTCCGCCGGAGGTTTGTATCCACCCCAACTAACAATCTCCCACTTGGAGACCAAACCGACGCCGACGGGCTATCTCATCAAGTTCCTCTTCTGTGTGGCTCCGCCCTCATCATCTATGCATGAAGGCCAACTGAAGTTGCGCACAACTCCAGTTTCTGAACTGTCACCGTCTTTGTTAACATGTCTGCTGGATTCTTACTTCCTGGAATCTTTTCCAGTTTCAACACGTCATCTTCCAACAGGGATCTGATGAAGTGGTACCGAAGCGCAATATGCTTCGTTCTAGAATGAAATGCTGAATTCTTCGCCAAGTGTATCGCACTCTGACTATCACTGTGCAAAACATTCTTCTCCTGTTTGAATCCCAGCTCTGTTAACAAACCCTGAAGCCATATCATCTCTTTACTGGCTTCAGTCACTGCAACATACTCAGCTTCTGTAGTGGATAGGGTAACGATCTTCTGTACCTGTGACATCCAACTAACAGCTGTAGTTCCAATGGTGAATACATAGCCGGTGGTGCTTCTTCGATGAACAACTTCACCGCCGAAGTCTGCATCTACGTACCCTTGCACTTCTACCTCTCCCTTACCAAAGTGCAAACACTTCTGTGTTGTGCCTCGTAGATATCTCAGAATCCACTTGACCGCTTCCCAATGAGCTTTTCCTGGATTCGACATAAACCGGCTGACCACTCCCACTTCATGGCCAATGTCTGGTCTCGTACAGATCATTGCGTACATCAAGCTTCCGATAGCTGAGGCGTAAGGAACCTGAGCCATACTCTCTTTCTCTTCTTCTGACTGAGGAGACTGATCCTTCGACAGACGAAAATGACTAGCCAAGGGTGTGCTCACAGGCTTGGCGTCGCCCATGTTGAATCTCTGCAAAACACGGTTGATGTACTCCGTCTGAGATAACTGCAAGAGACCTCTCTTCTTATCTCTCGTGATTTGCATTCCAAGGATCTTCTTCGCTGGACCCAAGTCCTTCATGTCAAACTCCTTTGACAGCTGCTGCTTCAAACTCTTGATATCCTCCATATCTGCTCCTGCAACCAACATATCATCAACATACAGCAGTAGGATGATATAGCTGGACTGATATCTTTTGAAGTAGCAACAGTGGTCGGCGTTGCACTTCTGGAACCGTCAAACTTTCTGTACCACTGTCTTGGGGCTTGTTTCAGGCCATACAAGCTCTTCTTGAGTCTGCACACCAGGTTCTTCTTCTTTTCTTCTGAGAAACCTTCTGGCTGGTGCATGTATATCTCCTCTTCTAGATCTCCGTGAAGAAACGCCGTCTTCACGTCTAACTGCTCGAGATGAAGATCTTCAATTGCTACAATACTCATCACGGTCCTGATAGTATTTAGCTTCACCACGGGAGCGAAAATATCGGTGTAGTCAATTTCTTCCTTCTGCTGGAAACATTTGACAACCAGTCGGGCTTTATATCTTCCGGAACCATCCTGCTCCTCTTTCACCCGGTACACCCATTTGTTGTGGAGTGCCTTCTTACCCGTGGGCAACTCAGCTAGTTCCCACGTCTGGTTTGATATGAGAGACTTCATCTTATCTTTCATTGCAAGCTCCCACTTGCTCGCATCTCCACACTGACAAGCTTCATCAAAGCTTTCAGGCTCCCCATCATCTGTCAACAACAGATAGTTCATGTATCTCCTGTTGGGTACAGGAGGACGAGAAGATCTTCTTAATATCGGAGCTGGTGTGTCGGGCTCCTGCGCACCATCTTGTCCAATAGGCTCTTCTTGCTGAGGACCCTCTGCATTGGGTTCTTCCGAGAGGTTACTCGAGACATCATCTGCATCTACAAATATTGACTCGCTCTCTGAGTCATCTGTCTTGTGCATGTCCTTGTACATCACCTTCTCGTTGAATATCACATCTCTGCTCCGGATCACCTTCTTGTTTTCGTTGTCCCAAATGCGGTAGCCGAACTCATCTTCACCATAGCCGATGAAAGTGCATTTCTTTGACTTGGGATCAAGCTTATTCCTGCCTTGATCACTAATATGCACGTAAGCTACACAACCGAAAACTTTAAGATGTGAGAGTTTTACCTCCTTTCCGCACCATACCTCCTCTGGTATTCTGTGCTCCAATGGAACCGATGGACCTCGGTTGATCAAATAAGCTGCTGTGTTGACCGCTTCTGCCCAGAACTGCTTCGGTAGGCCTGATTGTACTCGAATGCTTCTGGCTCTCTCTGATTTTGCTGAGGCGTACCGGGCACGGTTCTCTCCATTCTGATTCCGTGCTCATAGCAGAACTTCTTGAATCCGGTGTCTTCATATTCACCGCCATTGTCGGTCCTGAGCTTCTTTATTCTCAGACCGGTTTTATTTTCGACCATAGCTTTCCATCTCCTGAAAGCCTCAAATACTTCTGACTTATGCTTCAGAAAGTAAACCCACACTTTCCGAGTGTGATCATCGATAAAAGTCACGAAGTAGTGTTTCCCACCAATCGACGCAGTGGTGGTTGGTCCCCAAACATCTGAGTGAACGAGCTCTAGCTTCTGCTTCCTGGGGGTTCTGCCACTTGTCTGAAAGCTGACTCTCTTCTGCTTTCCAAGTATACATTCTTCACACATATCCATCTCCACTGACTGCAGTCCTGGGAGTTTTCCCTTTGTATGCATGATTTTCATCCCCTTGTAACTGAGATCAAACAACGTGCACTTGCTGTCATATACAGGGTATCAGTCTTCTTACCTCGGGTAATTGTCATTGCGCCCTTTGAGATCTTCCAATCATCTCCATGGAAGGTTGTGGTGTATCCTTCGCCAGCCAACTGGCCTACGGATATTAAATTCTTTCTCAGGTCGGGAATATGCCTGACATCCTTCAGCTCCCATACTGACCCGTTCAACTTAATTTTCACCACGCCTTTGCCCACTATAGCACACGGTTGATCATCACCAAGATATACGTATCCAAGTTTTCCGGGGGTATACTTCTCGAAGAATTCTTTCTGAGAGGTAGCATGGAACGACGCTCCTGAATCTAACACCCAAGATTCCTCCTTGCTCTCCAAAGAGCATATCAATGCGTCGTCTCCTCCTGAAGTGGATGTGACATTCACCTCTGCCTTTGCCTCCTTCTCTTTCTGTGCACTCTTGCACTGATTCTTGTAATGCCCGGTCTTTCCACAATTCCAACACTCGATAGCCTTCGAGCTGTTGCTTGGATTCCTTGATTTGGACCTCCTGTCCTTTGATCTACCTCTGAAGTTTGATTTTCCTCGTCCGTTTCCTCTGGTTGAATTTCTACCTCTTGACTCTGTATGCAATACTGAAGAGGTTGTAGCTTCACCCGTTTCTCTCCGTCGGATCTCCTCACTGAGAACCAAATCACGAACGTCGCCGAACTTCAACTTTTTCTTTCCCGATGAGCTACTCACTGCCGTGACTGTAGCGTTCCAACTCTCTGGTAGGGAAGACAAAAGTATCAACGCCCGGACTTCATCATCAAACTCAATCTCAACAGAACTCAATTAGGTTGTAACCGTATTAAGTTCATTGAGGTGTTGTGCTACTGACGCGCCTTCCGCCATTTTAAGATTGAATAACTGCCGCATCAAATGAACTTTGTTCGCGGCTGATGGCTTCTCATACATGTTTGAAAGTGCTGCCATAAGACCTGCTGTGGTCTTCTCCTTCGCTATGTTGAACGCAACATTGCGAGTCAACGTCAATCTGATAACTCCGAGGGCTTGTCTATCTAGAAGGTTCCACTCTTCTTCCTTCATAGAATCTGGCTTCTTCCCCGATAGAATTTCTTATTTAATCTAACAAGAAATTACAAATTAAGAGCAAATCTCTAAACTGAGATTCCTCAAACAGACACTGTAGCTACAGTGTTAATACCCACACTTAAATACCCTCTTCTCTTTTCTCTCTCTTCTTAAATCCCTTTTCTTAATCTCCCCTCAAACCAAATGAGAGCTGGAGATTTGGGAAGTTAAATCGCTGCTGCGATTTCAAAA